GACGCTCCTCCCCACGACTCGGCGCATCGTCGTCGAGGAGCCGCTCAGCGCCGCGATCGGGGTGGTGTTGACGCGCCCTAGGCGGGACTCGGCGGGCCCCCGCTGCGAGGTCGAGGTGATTGCGCTATTCCCCGCCAACAGCGGCGTCCTGCTCCCCGCGGTGCGAAACGTCGTGCTCCACCACATCGACTACGCGGAGGAGGCAGATTGGGTGGTGAGCCTCGTCTCCCCAGTCGATAATATTCAGGAGGTCTTCCAGCGAGCGCTGCGGGCGGATTCGCCGCCGAGCGCTGGTGGCGAACGCGTCGGCGCCGCCGAGCATTTCATCAAGCATTACCACCTTCGGTCGGATCTACGGAAGCTGATCGCGAACCTCGAATCAAAGTATTGGGTGCGCCACATCGACGTCATCTTGGAGGTCGCCGTGAGCGCGAATGTCATTCCGTACCTACGCAAGGCCTACGCCCGTGTTTCTCTCAGAGAAGTCAATCCCCCGCCCGCAGTGGCGAACCCCGGCGATGAGGATCCGGCGGAAAGTAAGACAGACGACACGATTGCGTCGTCCGGTGCGGCAGCGGGTCCGCCGCAGAGGTCGAACCTCATAGTCAAGGAAACCCACAACCGCAGTTCGACGAACCCTGAGGTCGACCACACCGGCGCTGCGAAGTCCGCCAACGCGTTTATCCGCGTCTTCCCTTTATCCGTGCTACCTTTACCCACGCCAAATCTCCCTAATACCGAGGGTAACAACGGCATCAAGCCAACCGAAACCCCTCACGCGGCAGAAAAAAGGGCTGGCGAGATGTGGTGTGTACCGCATCTTCCCCGGGGCGTTAACCTACTGCCTAACGAAATGATCGCCTCTCGCCGATTGCTCAGGGCGATGGAGGCCGAAAGCGCGCACCAGATGAACTGCAGCTTTCTTCGCAATGCGATCGAGAGTAATTTGGTGGCCCTGCGCACCACCGACGCCTGGCTGCGTGGGGAAGAGGAAGGGGCCGAAGCGAATGCTAATGCGCCCTGTAAAGGGTCGGACGCATCGGTCTGCGATGGGCTTTCGCCAAGTCAAAAGGATGATGTACAGCATTGGCACCGTACGGTGCGGGAGATCGGCGACTGGCTCGACAACAACGGTGAGAATGCCAATTTGGAGGAGTTGGACAAACAACAACAGCGTAGTGCGAGCCTTAAGAAGGTGATACTAAAGCTGATTTCACCATTGTATGAGGAGTAGAACGCGTCAACCAAAAAACTTGAAAAAAGACAATGTTAATATACATTAAAGTAAACCGTAGTAGGATTTGATATTACGGCTCCTATATTGTTGCGATTTACTTTTATTTTATTTTTTGAGTTTCGTTGAGCATCCAAAGAAGGTACCTTAAGCTGAATAAACCATTACAAACTCACCCTGAGCGGTAAAAAAGGAGTGTAAAGGATTTGCTTTACGTTGCGATTGTATTATAATGTTTCACTTTTTTTTTTTCGAAAAAATGGGCTCTATTGTATTTTTCAAGAACAAAAACAGGTAGAGAAGCATTCGATTCCCCAAATTTTTCCCCCTAACTGAGGTTCTGGAGGTGCCGCTTAATTCCGCCTCTCGCGCCGTATTGCTATAGACCCCTCGATAGCCAATTCTAATAACTAAACTTGCGTTGGATTAGTGAAGTCGCCTTGCGATGCTGCGCCGCGCCCTACGCTGCCGGATGCCACGCAACATGGTCGTCAAGGACCCGCTCTGCCGGCAGACGCTGGAGCACATGACGCCGGTGGTCTACTCCAGCCTGCCGAACGGCTTCCGCGTCGCCACGGAGTACGTGAAGGACTGCCCCTTCTCCACCATCGGGATTTGGATTGATACGGGGAGCCGGTTTGAGGACATCCACAACAGCGGCGTCGCCCATTTTCTCGAGCACATGAACTTCAAAGGGACGGACCGCTACTCCAAGCAGGACGTGGAGCGCCTCTTCGAGCATAACGGCGCGCACTTCAACGCCTACACCTCGCGCGACCGGACGGCCTACTACGTCAAGGCCTTCAACCGGGACGTCCCCGTCATGATCGACGTCGTGGCGGATCTGCTCCAGAACGGCCACTACCGCCCCCAGGACATCGAGCTCGAGCGCCCCACCATCCTCGCCGAGATGCGCGAGGTCGAGGAGCTTGTGGACGAGGTCCTGATGGACGAGCTCCACCGCGCGGCCTACGACCCTTCGACCAGCGGGCTCCCCCTGACGATTCTCGGCCCGGTGGAGAACATCGCGCGGAACATCGACCGCGCGATGATTCAGCGCTTCGTGAAGACCCACTACACCGGCCCGCGGATGTGTTTGGTCTCGTCCGGGGGCCTGAGCCCGGACGAGACGCACCGCATCGCGGAGACCTTCTTTCGCGACCTCCCCGCCGTCAACAACCGCCCGCTGCTGTGCGCGCGGTACACCGGCGGCTACACGGTCCTCTGGAACGAGACGATGGCGACGACCAACACCGCCGTCGCCTTCCCGATCTGCGGGGCCTCCTGCGCGGACAGCTACGCCCTGCAGCTCATCCACAACGTCATCGGCCAATTCCGCGAGGGCCAGTTCGACCAGTTCGGTTATCAGCGCTTAAATCCGCGAATCGCGTGGGATCGGCTGCCGAACCTCGTCCAGCTCCGGCCCTTCTACACCCCGTATGAAGAAACCGCGCTGCTGGGCTATCAAATCGTGACCGCGCGCCCCCCCCAGACGCCCCGGCCCCGCCC